AAATTAGGTAATTAATATGCACAGATTTGTATCCAAAATTAATAAAATCTGTGCATTAGTTACAAGCATCTATGCACAAAAACCGATGTATGGTACGTCGCAAGCACACACAAATACAGGATTCAAAAACTGACATTGTTTAAATGAACTACCAAATAAATATGCACTCAAAATGAATTTGAATTGGATTAAAAATGTTGGAAAAAATCTAAATGAAATTGAAAATTATCTATATAACATTCATAATTTTGGATTATTTTAAATAGAATTAGGTAGAAGACTGAAGTAAATCCAAAACTGAACTTGAAGGCTGTGCAAATGATGCCACAAAAGTATTGACGATGAAAAACATTTTATATTAGATTGAGTCAAGTATTTCAATAATAAAAGAAAACAACTACTTGAAGACTGCCTATTCCATATGAAATATTTAGAAAAGAAGCAATTTTCATAAAAATTATGATGAATAATTTAGAAAGAATGTATACTAGAAAGGTACAATCTATAGATAATGCCAGAGAACAGGTGAAACAACACATACAGCATAACAATAGCTAAGAGTAAAACAAAAACTGTATTTGTTCTATCAGAAACAATAGAAATACATACAAACAAAATTTTGTAAATATCACTTATTTTGACCATTAAAGTGACAATAGCTGTAACTATCATTTTTTTCTCTCTAATTAATAATTTAAAAACATTTCCTGTGTCAATTTTTAAAGTAGAAAATATGACTGTAAGCTTTTTAAAGTGATACATATAAAATAACTGTGCCAAGGTTCCATGGTTGGTCTTTTACTAATTTTTTATGCACACTCATCTTTATAGTGAATTCATTGGAAAGAATATGTTAAAAAGATTTAATGCTGAAATGAATTTAAAGTGTCAATATAAATGTCATGTAAATTAGTTGAATACCATTGATAACAAACAGTATATATTGACTTGTTGAGCACTGGGTCAAGAGGTCAGATACTTATTGTATCTCAGGGAGGGGGTGTTGACATGAAAACCAAACGTACTTTCTCTGCATGCCATATCTAATGTTGGATCTCAGGTGACGTGCTGCTACATTTAAACCATGTATGTATGTTATGATTTGTTGTAATGTAATATACTGGTAGCACTTTGAATTTACCGGTAGTGTACAATTTGTGTTGGGTATATTTATAAAATATCTGTTGTGTTTGGGATTAAACCAGGTGAAAATCTGTGTTTTAGTAGGTTTATCACGCCTCATTTGGAACAAATTAAGGGCTTGATCATCCATACAGGAGTATAGTGACCACTGAATGACCATTGTGACCTAGCTTAGAGAACTGAGACTGACAAATGCCAACCTTTTTGTTAATTTTAAAAAGTCAGAGTGATAAAGCCTAGGTCACTTATTTGAGTTACATGATTGGTTCAGCCCAAGTGTCAAGAGGTAAGTTTAAGTGATTGAAGTGTTGTGTATATATTTGTTCAGACCATCAGTTGTGACCCAGTGTGGAAAACTTTCAGGCAAAGGTGCTGGTTTTAGTTAAGGTTTCTCCCACCTTAATTGTAAGAATTATTAGTTTCTTGAGAATGAAGTTGCAGCAGTATAAGTAGTAAACTCTAATCTAATGGATCTAAACCCTTCTACAGTTCACCAGCAGTATTTTTATTGTATATTTCACAATTAAAGGAAAACATTTGAAAATTTCTTCCAAATATGGTCATGCTGATAAAATCTTTTTGTTTTCATAGTCTTAAAATGGAGGAGCAGACATTCAACCAGTTCCAACAAGATTTTGAGTTTTTATTTAAAGTGAAAGCCATAGTAATGGAAGAAGTGAGAAAACTTAGGACGGACCCAGAAACAATTAAACAATTTGAAAAATATAACACCAATGGAATGTTCATGAAGATGGATAGAAATAAGGAGATACGAGTAGTTTTTCCCACAGAGTTTAGAAGCAACAACTGCACGGCTTGGCACTAATGCTGGGAAATCAGAACGCATGATGTTTGTGGGCTTTGTTGGTTTTGCAAGACCTGTTGAAGAGATTGGCCAAAAATTGATTGATAATGTTTGGGGGAATGACACTGAGCTGATGGGAGCACTGAAAACACACCCTGATATTCTCTGTTATTCTTCCGCTCAAACAGGATTTGGTAAAAACTGGGGTAACTTTGTTGTGTTTGCGTCAATGGATGCATTGGAACACTGGAAAAAATGTGATGCTCATTATCAGTCAGTGAGGTAGGTATTCAATATTAATTAATTGGACCATGCATATTCAATTTCATATTTAATTTGATATTTTCACGGTACGGATTCAGTTTACAGAGATAGCTATTGACTCTACAATGGAAAGTGAGAATAAATCCCATTGTGTCCCAATGTGCTGTTCTGTGCACGTAAAAAAAACCCAATGATTTGAATTCATATAAATAGTTGTGTAGTGTATTGTGTGAATGTGCCAAATTTTAGTCATTGACACTTCATTTCTCATATTATCACCTAATATAAGTTACAATTGAAATTATAGCGACTATAATTCCAAACCACCTGTTTTTGAATATTGATACAAGAACTGGTCTCAAACCACCTGTTTCTAAATATTGATACAAGAACTGGTCCCAAACCACCTGTTTCTGAATATTGATACAAAAACTGGTCCCAAACCATCTGTTTCTGTATATTGATACAAGAACTGGTCCCAAACCACCTGTTTCTGAATATTGATACAAGAACTGGTCCCAAACCACCTGTTTCTGTATATTGATACAAGAACTGGTCCCAAACCACCTGTTTCTGAATATTGATACAAGAACTGGTCCCAAACCATCTGTTTCTGAATATTGATACATAATATTCTCATTCACACTCAGTTTGTTAGATTGACATAATTGTTAAGCCAGTAATCCAAATCTCTTAACAATTCCATATCTTTTTTTACTTAATGTATTACAAATTCTTTCTCCTCCAGGGATTTATCACCTTATTATTATACTAAAGTAAGGATACATAGAGGTGTTCTGCCTGCTGGTCTACCATCATCATCATTCGTTCTCACTCGTACACTGTTTATTGACTATACAAAGTATCCATCAGATGGTACAATGGACCGATATGTCAAGCACTGGAAGAAAGAAGGCTACACATGTTCTGCAATCAGTACACTTGTCACTGTAGAGTAGATTATCATTTCAATGAAGTGTGTAAAAACAATCATTTTCAAATTCATGTATTTTTTGGACGGGGCTACATCACAAAACGATCTATGTTACTAAAATGCACACCACTGTAAACATGTATAATTTCTATGGACTCTGCAGAAGCTGCTGTGGAAACATCAGTTGAAGAGGAAGCACTTTAACATAATTCTGAGAAACCAAATTTATATATGTTGAACATGTAGCACTTGTAAAGGTGATCTTGTTACCTTGTTCAAGGGAGTCGCAACAACTATCCCCAAGTACAGTTTTCTGAGAGTTTTCAGCCTTTGTTTTCACCGTGATGGTTGTCTGGACATCCACCTCTAGTTGCTGACATTTTAGTCAGGTTTCATGTAATAGCGCCCTCAATGTTAACACACATTATTATACCTTAAGCCACCAGAGGGCACACTCACATTTAACTTCAAAGGTTCCCATGCAGAACATTCAAGCGCCAATGAAGCATTTATTGTATAGGATTCTCGCATTTGTATTTTCACATTGATGTAATGATTTAAGAAATTACAGAATTATTAAAATTAGCTACACAAGTGAATATATTTTACAACTGATTGTTTCATAGAATGTATACACATTTGGAATGTTTCCACAGTATTTGTCAGTTAAATAAAATATGCTACTTAACGCATTTCCAGATCAGATGGGCTGACTGGTATGGAGAAGTTGACAGAATCCATTTTATAGCAAAACAATTTAAAATAAACACAAATATAAAGATGACATTATAAATAACTATATATAGTACAGAAATATTACAATTTTATTTTTGAGTAACCTGTGCATAAAAAAACTAAAGTGTACTTTTCATTTAAGGGATTGACCATAAGAAACTGTCTCTAAGGGTGGCAGAATTGTGAAAAAAATATTCTGCATGCTCAAAAATATTTCACATATATAAACACAAATTTACAGAAAAATCATCATGAAAACAATTCTTTTTCTGCCATGACCCCTTCCAAAGTTTCTTATAGTCCACCCAAACTGTACTCAGAATAAATGAACACTTGCACAAGATGAATGTGCAATACAAAACAAATTTGGATTCATTAACAGGTATTTTAAGGATCAACACTACTGGGGCTTTCTCATGCTACTCTAAGTGTTACATATTTGTTCGGCAAAACAAGGAATTATCCTAGTTTCCAAAGTTGTACAAAGTAATAACATTTGTATAGATTCCTCACTTTGCTAAAACATAGTATAACTATTAAATAAATATAGGAATCAGAATGGATTCAAACAATGCTCTTGCTTTTTTTTTGCAAGGCAAAAGTAAGAATAAAAGTCCACAAACAATGCAATACTATATTTGAACAAAATTTGGCTGGAATATTGTCTTTTTGAATGATTATGTGCGTGCTGCGGTTTGTGCATTATGCCTAGGATGTTTATATTCAAAACCATTTTATGGGTTTGCTTAAAAAAGAAGGCATGATAATAAAACCCCAGTTTCAAAGAAATTTGTATTAAAGCTGCAATGTAAACAGAAAGACTGGTAAGTTGTGTAGCTGTAATAAAATTAATAGGACGGAGAAACATGCCCAAATTATTAATGTATGCTATACTACTGAATGAACAATTTTCACAAATTTTTTGTTATGGACACAAATGAATTAATCTGTTACAAAGACAGGAATTAATTATGTACATCCACCAGGAGTATATATCATTGAGACATGCTACCTGACATGCTGTATAGACTCAGTATTATTTGATAGGCGGCAGAGTATTATTCTTCTTACTTGGTATAGGCATAGATGGTTCACTATGTGATTTATTCATTGCAAAGTCCGACTGAGGCGTAGCTTTTAATGGTAAAGCAGTATAAGTTGCAGCATGTGCTATCACAGCTTTTCTTTGATTGTTCTCATCACCACCACCACCAATTGACTGGCTGTCAATGCTAGCTGTCTCAGAAAGGGTATTATCAGAAATTCTCTGGCAAAGATCTTTTAAATAAGAGTGTAAAAACTGAATGAATGAATTGTTTTTATCGGTGACAGCCTGCCCACTCACAGCAGCAAGAATCCTATTCAATATTGGTAATTCTAACTCCTTGGACAGAGGTTGTAGTTTGGCCACGGTTTTCATTATGCATTCTAAAGTCTGCCTTTCATGCTGTATAGGAATATAAAGAGATTCAGACAACTGGTTAGTGAACATGGCAACCACACGCAAAACCCATCACAAATCAGCTAAGTTCTCACACTTTATAAACCTCTTATAAATTTTAGGAATTCAAAGTTGAATAACATTACAAAGTTCATGGAATCACAACAATTTATAAAAACAACAATTTAATAATTTGGCCAGTGATTGAAGCAACCCAAAATGAATCCCCAGCATCGTCATTACAATCAGTGAACAAAGCATGAGGGTTACCAGGGTAAATGTCTTGAAAATATTTTCATACAAACAATTCATGACTTCATGAAATTCACTGTATGTGGAAAAACTATGAAGATGGGAAGCCGTTATTTTAAAAGTACAGTGTGATAGTAGAAACTATTAAGATCACTGAGCAGCGTGAACCATAATGCAAACTATACGTGTATTACATGTATATATCTGTTACTTACTCTCTCCAATAATTTAAGCCCAGATCTAGGGTCATCAACATGATCTATTAGGTTATGAATGCACTGTACACTCAGCATTGGTTCCTATAATAAATAGAGTCAAATGTTAATGTGAAATTTTATACAATCATATACATTGTAATTTCTG